TAATGTTGTATACGATAGTCTACTATACAGCACAAGAATCCCGATAACGCAACCTGACAGCGATGTGTATAAGTTATAAGCATATCTGGAAGCATTCCCCTTCAGATTCAGGTGAGAATCAAGTTGTAGAATTCTGCTGTTCTCGCAGTCGCAGTCGCATTCGCAATGACAGTCGCAGTGGCAACGGCCTTAGGATCCAATGGAATCCTAAGGATCCCTAGGGGTTCCTAAGGCATTCTTAGGCATCCTTAGGAATCCATAGGAATCCTTAGGAAACCTTAGAAATCCTTAGGAATCCTGATTCCTGGGGATCCCTAAGGATTCCTAAGGATTCCCACGCAATCCTAAGGATTCCTAAGGATGCCTGAGGATGCTTATCTATGCCTACGGACTCCTAAGGACGTCTACGTATTCCTAAGGATTCCAAGGGATTCCTAAGGATTTCTTTGGAATCCTACGGATGCCTCAGCCTGCCTCAGTTTCAGCTTCAGCCTCAGCCTGCCTCGGCTTGCCTCAGCCTCAGCCTCAGCCTGCCTCAGCCTCAGCCTCAGCCTGCCTCAGCCACAGCCTCAGCCTGCCTCGGCCTCAGCCTGCGTCAGCCTCAGCCTCAGCCTGCCTCAGCCTCAGCCTGCCTCGGCCTCAGCGTCAGCCTCTCAGCCTCAGCCTGCCTCGGCTTGCCTCAGCCTCAGCCTCAGCCTGCCTCGGCCTCAGCCTGCCTCGGCCTCAGCCTGCCTCAGCCTCCCCTCCTCCCCCCCCTCCTCCCCACCCCATTCAGCCTCACCGTGTCTCAGCTTCGGCCTGCCTCGGCCTCATCCTCAGCCTCAGCCTCAGTCTCAGCCTCAGCCTCAGCCTCAGCCTGCCTCGGCCTGAGCCTGCCTCGGCCTCAGCCTCAGCCTGCCTCAGCCTCAGCCTGCCTGAGCCTCAGCCTCAGCCTGTCTCAGCCTCAGCCTGCCTCAGCATCAGCCTCAGCCTCAGCCTCAGCCTGCCTCGGCTTGCCTCGGCCTCAGCCTCAGCCTGCCTCGGCCTCAGCCTCAGCTTCAGCCTGCCTCAGCCTCAGCCTCAGCCTGCGTCAGCCTCAGCCTGCATCAGCTTCAGCCTCAGCCTGCCTCAGCCGCAGCTTGCCTCAGCCTCAGCCTCAGCCTCAGCCTCAGCCTCAGCCTCGCCTTGTCTCAGCTTCGGCCTGCCTCGGCCTCATCCTCAGCCTCAGCCTCAGTCTCAGCCTCAGCCTGCCTCAGCCTCCGCCTCAGCCTGCCTCAGCCTCAGCCTGCATCAGCCTCAGCCATAATGGGGCCCTTTTTTTGCCTCAGCCACAGCCTCAGCCTCTGGCCTCAGCTCAGCCTCCATCAGCCTCAGCTGCCTCGGCCTCAGCCTCAGCCTCAGCCTGCCTCAGCCTCAGCCTCAGCCTGCCTCAGCCTCAGCCTGCATCAGCCTCAGCCTCAGCCTGCATCAGCCGCAGCTTCCCTCAGCCTCAACCACAGCCTCAGCCTCAGCCTCAGCCTCAGTCTCAGCCTCAGCCTCAGCCTCAGCCTCAGCCTCAGCCTGCCTCGGTTTGCCTCAGCCTCAGCCTCAGCCTGCCTCGGTTTGCCTCAGCCTCAGCCTCAGCCTGCCTCGGCCTCAGCCTCAGCGTCAGCCTCTCAGCCTCAGCCTGCATCAGCCTCTGCCTCAGCCTCAGTCTCAGCCTGCCTCAGCCTCAGCCTGCCTGAGCCTCAGCCTCAGCCTGCCTCGGCCTCAGCCTGCGTCAGCCTCCCTCAGCCTGCCTCAGCCTCAGTCTCAGCCTGCCTCGGCGTGCATCAGCCTCAGCCTCAGCCTGCCTCGGCCTCAGCCTGCCTCGGCCTCAGCCTGCTTCAGCTCGGGCATTCAAAATATGGAACAAGACTGGTGTTCTGGGAACACAAAGATCACGAAGTGGCCCACAGCTGGCTCCGGGCAATCAAAATATGGTACAGAAATTGTGATCTGGGAACACGAAGATCACGAAGTGGCCCACAGTTGGCTCCGGGCAATCAAAATGTGGCCTGGGAACGGTGTTCTGGGAACACGAAGAACACGAAGTGGCCTACAGTTGGCTCCGGGCAATCAAAATCAGGCCTGGGAATGGTGTTCTGAGAAGACGCAGAACACGAAGTGGCCTACAATTGGCTCCGGGTATTCAAAATGTTGCCTGGGAATGGTGTTCTGGGAACACGAAGAACACGAAGTGGCCTACAGTTGGCTCCGGGCATTCAAAATGTTGCCTGGGAATGGTGTTCTGGGAATGGATTCCGAAGGATTCCTAAGAATTCCTAAAGATTCCTAAAGATTCCTGGGGCACACCCTTTTGTCCGGTTTTGTCCGCATCCCGCCCAGACCCCCCTGGGGCGTCAAGATGCTCTCTTTTGACCCTGGAGGGCACCCAAAGGCCCTCTGGACGGTCCAAGAGGGCCACGAGCCGCCGAAAGATCGATCGAAAACGCCCACGCCGGCCTCCAGACGGCCCAAGAGGCCCCAAAGACGCCCCAAGAAGCCCTCAACAGGCGTCCCAAGACGGGCCTCAGAGCAAGAACCGCCCCACTTCCATTGGAAAACCTGCATGTTTAGCACATTCGCCTTTTCTGCAACGACAGCGTCCAAGACAGCCCGAGAAGCCTCCTGGGTCGCCCCAAGACTGGTCAAAAGGCTCCCAAGAAAGCTTTCAGACGGCCCGAGAGGGTCCCAAGACCGCTCAAAATTAGCCTGGCGAAGAACCCAACCATATGCAATGGAAAATACCGCTGATGTGGGTATCGTCTTCCGTGGAGCTCCCTTTAGGGCCACGAAACGATGTACTGGGCGGGTGGACCGAATGCGAACTGCGCCACTGGATCTGCCTGTCGGCCTCGGCCTCAGCCTGCCTCGGCCTCAGCCTGCCTCAGCTCGGGGATTCAAAATATGGAACAGGACTGGTGTTCTGGGAACACGAAGATCACGAAGTGGCCCACAGCTGGCTCCGGGCAATCAAAATATGGTACAGGAATTGTGATCTGGGAACACGAAGAACACGAAGTGGCCTACAGCTGGCTCCGGGCAATCAAAATCAGGCCTGGGAATGGTGTTCTGGGAACACGAAGAACACGAAGTGGCCTACAGTTGGCCCCGGGCATTCAAAATGTGGCCTGGGAATGGTGTTCTGGGAATGGATTCCTAAAGATTCCTAAGAATTCCTAAGGATTCCTAAAAATTCCTGGGGCTCACCCTTTTGTCCGGTTTTGTCCGGATCCCGCCCAGACCCCCCTGGGGCGTCAAGATGCTCTCTTTTGACCCTGGAGGGCACCCAAAGGCCCTCTGGACGGTCCAAGAGGGCCACGAGCCGCCGAAAGATCGATCGAAAACGCCCACGCCGGCCTCCAGACGGCCCAAGAGGCCCCAAAGACGCTCCAAGAAGCCCTCAACAGGCGTCCCAAGACGGCCTCAGAGCAAGAACCGCCCCAGTTCCATTGGGAAACCTGCATGTTTAGCACATTCGCCTTTTCTGCAGCGACAGCGTCCAAGACAGCCCGAGAAGCCTCCTGGGTCGCCCCAAGACGGCTCAAAAGGCTCCCAAGAAAGCTTTCAGACGGCCCAAGAGGGTCCCAAGACCGCTCAAAATTAGCCTGGCGAAAAACCCAACCATATGCAATGGAAAATACCGCAAATGCGGGTAGCGTCTTCCGTGGAGCTCCCTCTAGGGCCACGAAACGCTGTACTGGGCGGGTGGACCGAATGCGAACTGCGCCACTGGAACCTTCGGTGGAGCGCCCTACGGGGCCACGAAACGATGCGAAACGATGCACTGGGCGTGGGATCCGCATGCGGACTGCGCCACTGGGACCTTCGGTGGAGCTCCCTCTGGGGCCACGAAGCGCTGCCCTGGGCGTGGGGAAGCCGCCTGCGGGCTGCGCCACTGGAACCTTCGGTGGAGCGCCCTCTGGGGCCACGAAGCGCTGCACTGGGTGGGGAAGCCGCCTGCGGGCTGCGCCACTGAACCTTCGGTGGAGCTCCTTCTGGGGCCACGAAGCGCTGCCCTAGGTGGGGAAGCCGCCTGCCGACTGCGCCACCGGGACCCTCCAAGGGGGACTGCGCCTGCGCACTGCGCACTGCGCGGGCGGACTGCGCCACTGGACACGATGCCCCGGGAAGCCCCCCGGTACGCTCCCAGGGCGCCTCCGAGTGGCCCGAGAAAGATTCGATCGGGCCTTCGGGAGGGCCCCCTCAGCGGCTCAGAGCTGCTTCCAAAACGCCCCCAGCACGCCTCCCACGAGACCCAGTCTGCCATCCGCGCGGCCTCGGCCCCGCAGCCCAGGCACGGTGGCGGGATGTGCCGAAGGCCATTCGACCCGCCCAAGACGGCCCAAGAATCAACCAGTGGTGCGTCGGAGGCATGAGTTCTTGCCTTCCTACACGCACTTCAAAGAGAGGTTCCGTTCCCGATCTAATCGACATCGCCTGAAGGCTAGTCCACGGGCTACTCCACTCTCGTCCCATCAGATCCGCCCCACCTCGCGTCCCCTTCAACCACCGCCCCGACAAATTTCTCCTGGGCACCATCCCGACCAAGCTTTCAAAACGAGCCTGGCTCCTGTGACGAAGGCCCTCTCGCGGCCTGCACGAAACCAAAAACTACACCCGCAAAGAACCTCACACCAGACATCTGCGTCGGTGGCTTAGGGGAGCCTGTCTTCAAAACCCCTTCTGCCCTTCGGAAGTGATTTACCCCCGCAGCGTATTCATAGACACACCCACCCACCCACTCGACCGACGGCCGACCCGAGTCAAACATCCCCGTCATCACGATACGATCAAGACAAAATGCATTTTGCGACATGACCTGGATCATATTTGGGATTCCCGCCCTCGCTGTGCATTGGTCTGTCACACGACGGCAGGGGGCATCAGATTACACCGTGTGTGCAGGCCCACCATCCCTCTCACAAGAAGACACTGGAATGTGAGCGTGGCGGCACAACCCCCCCGACCCCTTGGACTACCCTCAGCGTGTGAGATGCTTACCACTCCCCCGACCCCGCCCCCCATACCCTGGCCTGTTCGATTTGGAGGGAGGGGGGTCCGCCCGGATCCCACGGGCCCGGCCCCAACGCATCATGGGAGGACAGAGGCCCCCACAACGAGCCCAGGCGGCCCCAAGAGGCCCCCAAAACAGTCCAAGAGGGCCCCCAAACGCCAAACGCTCCTCTAGGACGGCCAAGTAGCCTCCAGACGGCCCAAGACGCCCCCCAAACGCCCCCAGAAACCTCCAAAAGCCCTCCCGACAGGGCCCCACGACGCAACAGTCATTGATTTTCAATCCGTTTTTGAAAGAGTTCAGCGTTCTCGCCTTTTCGGTTTCCCGACGCTTCACGACGGACCAGGAAGCTCCCGAAATCTCCCCAGACGGCCCAAGAGGCTTCCCAGAAGGCCCCGAAACAATCAGAAAGGGCCCCCCCACACAGCCCCACAGACGGCCCCCAAGAAGCTCCGAGAGGCCCCCCCTGGGCCCCCGTGCAGCGCCCAAAAGGGCACCAAGGAGCCCCTGCGGCGCAAGCCCAAGAATCATACTGCCGCTCACAACAACTCGCACCTTGGGATCCGCAGAACTCTTCACATGCAGTCGTGTCGGTGAACGTGGTTCGAGCGATTTCTGTAGTGCCGCAGCTGTTGTACTGTTCCAGAGTAGCGCATGTTGTCGTCAAGCCAGCGGAATCGATGCTCCAGACCAACGTGAAGCTTCCAGCGCCGCTCCAATATGCATCGATGATGAAGTATGCTCGCTGCACTGCTCCTTGGTTGTTATTCCAAACGTGCTGCATGGTATCGGGATCGTCCGTGCACATCACAAGGTTGGCACCTGGGCATGCACCACCCCAACGTGTCTCATGGCGACTGTCGTAAGCGTTGCTGGACATGCCGATTGTCAATGTGAAGCCGGATGGACCATCGATGTAGAAGATCTGTTCATTCCCATGGCCACCACACGATGTGGCATGCGTGTTCATGCCTGTCACTGTCGTACCAACGTAAGGGCTGGACACTGTGGACAGATCTATGGCTGCGCTGCAAGAGTCCTGTGGCTTGTGGCAGGTAGCGTAAGGATGGATATGGTAGATCTCTGAGCATGTTGAATGGAATGTCCACCAATCAGATCCGTGGCCATAAACTGCTGTGCATGTTGGGTCATCATTGCAACACGTCTTCGCCGATTCCTCGGTGTAGCACGTCGAGGCACACTTCGCACACCTAAAGGAACGGCAATAGCCAGCGCCGTCGTCCCCGCAGTTTTGCGGGTCGTTGCAATGTGTATGGCTCGATGAGCACACGTAAGGGGTCGGAGCGGCGGTCGGATTAGGCGTAGGGGATCGCCCCCACGGATCCCGTCGAATTCCCCATCCTGTCAGCTGCGAGGCGTTGCTCCCGTTCATCGCTGCCGCAAGCTGTATCATGCTGGAATCGGCGGGGACCGCACCCAGGCCAGCGGCCCCGCGTGCCCCAACAAAGCTGGCAATCATCAGTAAGAAACGGGCCATCTGCGGGACAGGTGAACCGATCACAAGGTGTAGGATGCACGAGGAGCGCGCGGGTATGCTTCAAACTGTGAAGGCCCAGCTGGAACCGAACAGTCTTGAGCCAGAATGGATGCGGGAAGGCCATTGGATATATAATTGGGAGCCCCCCACGCATCGAGCCCAACATGTATGCATTTGCGTGGCCAAACATCTGCGTCGTTTGCCTTCCAGAAACAAACTGGTCCCAAATACAAGCTCGGTCCTTCGACCATCTTCCCCCATACCCCACCCCACGGCGCCACCCCCGCCCGCCCGAGCGCGGTGACGGAATCGCCCAGCAGCGCAACTGGATCCGCCGACCCCTGCTTGCCAGGGGTGAAAAGGCGTGCGACATGATTGGTTGTCCCCCTGAGTGTGGTTCTGATGTTGATTGAGGTGGACATTGTTCGAATGACGATAACCTGATTGAACTATGACTATAACCAGAACTGGTCTGGGTGAAGGCAATATGGTGCTTCACCCGATCAGTATGATATGAATGTCGAGCTATGAATATGACTATAACTGGTCGTGGTGTACGTCTGGGTTGGGTCGGAGAAAGATTGATGACCGACCACAACTGCGAATGTGACCAATATGGTTCCTGGTCCAGGTAAGTTACACTATTCGAACAGATTCGGAAAAACGTGACTAAACCCGAACCGTGACCAGGACCAGTCCTGGTCACAATTGTGGTTCGGTCTGCACTAATATTATTATTATGTTATTGATGCCACTCGACCCAAACCAGAACCGTGACCAAGACCAGTCCTGGTCACAATTGTGGGTCAGACTGCATCAAAATTATTAAAACGATTGCAATGACAATCGGACCAAACCAGAACCGTGACCAGCACCAGTCCTGGTCAGAATTGTGATTCGGGTTGGATTGGTACTACTATAATACCTATACGACCACCGTTCGGGAAGGAGGGTGGGGGCGGAAGGGGGGGAACCAATACTTGACTCAATCGATATCACTATCGATCTCACTCAACGGGACACCACGGGACATCACGGGACACCACATGACACTACGGGACACTTGTCGATCTCATTATCGATCCCACTATCGATCTCACTCAACGGGACACCAAGGAACACCACGGGCCAGCACGGGACACCACGGGACACCGCGGGACACGTCTCGATCTCACTATCGTTCTCACCATCGATTTCACTATCGACCTCACTCAACGGGACACCATAGGACACCACGGGACACCACGGAACACCTCGGGACACCACATCGATCTCAATATCGACCTCACTATCGATATCATTATCGATATCACTCAACGGAACCCCACGGGACACCTGTCGATCTCACCATCAATCTCACTATCGAATTCACTTTTGGCGACACCACGGGACACCACGGAACACCTCGGGGCACCACGTCGATCTCAGCATCGACCTCACTATCGATCTCACTATCGATCTCCCTCAACTGGAAACCACGGGACACCACGGGACACCACGGGGCACCTGTTGATATCACTATCGATCACACTATCGATCCCATTTTTAGGGGCACCACGGGACACCTCGGGGCACCACGTCGATCTCAGCATCGACCTCACTATCGATCTCACTATCGATCGCAGTATGGGTCTCACTATCGATTTCACTCAACCGGACACCACGGGACACCACGTGGCACCACGGGACACCGCGGGACACCGCAAGCCACCGCCAGACGGACGGACGGACGGGCGGGCGGGGGAGAATCATTTTTCTTGACTGCGCCCTAGCAACGGCGGACACCACGGACGGACCTCAACGGCGGCTCGGATACCACCCGGTCCGATAGCTCGCCCAACTCATGTGTCGAAACTTCTGACCACAGAGGCGCTCATGAAGCAGCGCTGATCCAAACAATGCTTTCACCTAAAGAGCCCGACACGACATCCCTTTTAACATCACTAGCCCTACAAAATTACCCCAGTGCGACCCTACCTAGAAGTTGGAGCCTCTAGGAAAGCAGCATTAGTTGCTGTGCTATGCTATGCTATGCTATGCTATGCTATGCCATGCTATGCTGCGCTATGCTATGCTATGCTATGCTATGCTATGCTATGATATGCTATGCTATGCTATGCTATGCTATGCTATGCTATGCTATGCTATGCTATGCTGCGCTATGCTATGCTATGCTATGCTATGCTATTATATGATATGCTAAGCTATGCTAAGTCATGCTGCGCTGCGCTATGCTAAGCTATGATATGCTATGCTATGCCGCGCTGTGCTATGCTATGCTGGGGTATGCTATGATATGCTGTGCTGCGCTATGCTATGCTACGCTATGCTATGCTGTGCTGTGCTCTGCTATGCTAAAGCTCAGCGAAGCTAAGATGAAGGTAAGCTAAGCTAAGATAAACCTGAGCTAAGATGAAGCTTAGCTGAGCTAAGATGAAATAAGCTAAGCTAAGATGAGATAAGCAACGCTAAGCTAAGGGGACGTAACTGGGGGAACCGCGGGGCGGATGCGGGGGGAACCGCCCGGGGTGATTTCCACTGCCCGGCCCCTTTAAGCAAAGAGAGTAAGAACCCTTCTAGGCAGAGCCTAGGTAGGCAAAAAAAAAAAGTATGGCTTGTAGCCTCCACAAAAACATTCAATGATATGACCGTCCCTGGTATTAGGCGACCCCGAAGAAAGTCCAAAGAGGGCTCCCCCAGATAGCGGTGAGTGAGACCAGATCGAAATCCTCACTGCGGTCATTGTCGTCAGGGGTTTTCCGAAGGCTTTCCAAACGATCTCGGGGAACACATATTCCGACAGCTAGCCCAAGCTCGAATCGCGCCTCTCGGACACACAGGCTCTTCCAAAAAGGCAGGGGACGGCGGTGACTCGCCGTAGGCGTCTTCGATACGGTTTTTGCTGTCTGCGATGATCTCAGGAGTGGTGCGACAGCTGACCCCGCAGTCCCCGTAGGGATGGCCTACCCAACCGACAGAACCGCCGGACGCAGTGGCCGCTGCGGAGCAGCGAGGTGATCAAGCGCCCTCACGTGAGGCCTGCTACTGCAACTGAAGCCACAGCTGGGCCCCCGTCGCTGCGCGGTCCTGCCGCAAGGGCCAAAAGTTGCGCACAGGCGTCCGGTGTGACAACTGGCCCCGCAGTCCCCGTAGGGATGGCCTACCCCACCGGCGGAGCCGCCGGACGCAGTGGCCGCTGCGGAGCGGCTGCCGAAGCGATCGGAACATGGTCAGGAGAGGTGCAAGGAAGAGACGCACTCCAGCATTCATCTGAGAAGTGGTGCGACAGAGGGCCCCGCAGTCCCCGTAGGGATGGCCTACCCCACCGGCGGAGCCGCCGGACGCAGTGGCCGCTGCGGAGCAGCCGCCGAAGCTTGAGTCGAATGTCGTCAGCTGAAGCTTGCCTCTGCAACCGAGAAGACGAACGCACTACGACCCGTCTGGTGAGAGATCTGAATCAGGGAAGAGTGGTGAACGCATGCCTCCGAAGGCATCGCTGCCTCCGTGTGGTCATCTTGTCCTAGTAACCCCCGACTGCAAACCCCGAATGCCGAGATGCTTGACGTAGATTCAAATACCGGACCCCGTCCTGACTGTGCGCCCATAAGCAACTTTTACATTCACCTTCCCAAACTTAAACCACTTCGGCTGTTCGTCGTGCACCCCTGAGCTTGAAAATGAAGCCCGCCGTCCTTGCACTCCACCAGCACTACGCTCGCTTCCCAGTGATATTCAGCTGTTGAAAATACATGTCTGCGCATTGTCCACCCGACTGGCGCGCATCGGCCTCCACACGAAGCAATGCATTTTTGTGCCTTCCACGAGGGATGTTTATCAGAACATGCTTGCCCGGCTTCATCAAATCGAACCGCTGACCAAGAGCGTTTTGCAAGTGGGGATCGCCAGTGGCAGCCACACCGCCAGCTCCGCCAACCGTGGAACCAGTTCCTGCAGGAAACGTCGGATGTGGCGTTGGCCAACCCGGAGGATACGTCGGGCTGGGCGTCGGACTGGGCGTCGGGAAAGGCGTCGGGAAGGGCGTCGGGAAGGGCGTCGGGAAGGGCGTCGGGAAGGGCGTGGGGAAAGCCGTCGGGAAGGGCGTCGGGAAGGCCGTCGGGAAGGGCGTCGGGAAGGCCGTAGGGAAAGCCGTCGGGAAAGGCGTCGGGAAAGGCGTCGGGAAAGGCGTCGGGAAAGGCGTCGGGAAGGGCGTCGGGAAGGATGTCGGGAATGGCGTCGGGAAGGGTGTCGGGAAAGGCGTCGGGAAGGACGTCGGGAAGGGCGTCGGGAAGGCCGTCGGGAAGGGCGTCGGGTAAGCCGTCGGGGAGGGCGTCGGGAATGGCGTCGGGAAGGGCGTCGGGAAGGGCGACGGTGAGGGCGTCGGGAAGGGCGTCGGGAAGGGCGTCGGGAAGGGCGTCGGGAAAGGCGTCGGGAAGCGTGTCGGGAATGGCGTTGGGAAGGCCGTCGGGAACGGCGTCGGGAAGGGCGTCGGGAAGGGCGTCGGGAAGGGCGTCGGAAAGGGCGTCGGGAAGAGCGTGGGGAAGGGCGTC